TCAAAATACACCCATAATAAATCAAAAGTAGTCATAATATGCCTAAAAAAAGCATTTAATTGTCTCTAAGATCTAAAATCTCGCTCTATAATCTAATAATTTTTTTAGCAAACGAAATTTTCTGAAATTGAAATAGATTATATGACTTGACTTAGATCTAAAATCTGCTACTTAAATTAAATTGTAAAAAGTTTATACAAGCATGTAATTGATATTATTGTAGTAGAAGGCTTTAATAAATTACTAAGGCCTACATACTTTGTGTCTTTTTACAGCAATATGTATCTGATACTGGACTGAGTTTAATTAAATTAAAATGCATATCTAGTAATTAGTCTATTAAGTTTATGTAGCCTAGTAGTAGAATCTAGATCATACCAGCCAACAACAAATAACCACATTATTATTATTTGGTTAATGATTAGGCTAATTTTTTAAATCCACTGTTTATAAAAGAAACAAATCAAGCTAGAAACATTATAAGACTAAGATGGTTTAGAATAATAACAATGGACCCAGTCTACAATTGATACAATTGCAGGTCTACATAGGGCCTACAGTCTAGTAGTTTACAGTAGGCACCTAGTGTGTAGCTAGTATACTAGTATGTAGCTGTCCAGAGTTAAGATTCTTAATGCCTTCCCCTGATAAGCCATGTGTGCTATAAATGACATAACATGACATCGAGGTGAGAAATGTTGAGGGGAGAGCAGTGGGACTTTCCCCTTTGTTCTCCCTGCTGGGCCCTGAGGGTCAAAAATTATATAAGAGATACTATCTCTGTGGGGCTGGGTATCACGGAGGTGAGACATTTTCAGGGGAGGGCAGGGCACACTCCTCTTTGGTTTTATTGTGGGCTAAATAAAGGTGGGGGCTGGCCATCTTGAGGGCTGAACATCAGTATTAATGTGTCTGATCACTTCCCTGATGGATTATAAGGGTCTTAAATTGTATAACATGCTACCCAGATTGGCTGAGATCTAAGAACAGCAGTGGTTATTACCCATGAATTATATTAGTCGTTGTAGTGTGGGTTTTGTAGGAGTTAAGTGGTCTCACGTTTGCTACAGTAGATAACCTATAATATATTACTGCATTTGATCAGATTCGTCTACTTAAACCCTAAACGCAAACAATATTACTAACAGTATTTTTACTTAGAAATTTCGGCTACATATTTATATTATCCACGAAACTGTCAATAATTGTATAAGGATCTTCAATTCCTACGAGTTCAGTTTTTTAACGTATTTTTCCTTTTCCGCGGGTGCGATTCTTTACAGACGGTGAACACGTCCAGCGCTGGTGAACAGCTGATTGTGTTTACGTCTGGTGTACACCACTGTGGCGGCGAGCGTAGGTATCACGTGATTTAGGTCACGTATTAGCAGTAACCCCACCCTCGCTTTAATACAACCAAACATATTGCTCGACATGCCGCACGCCGGGCCACGCAGCGCACAGGACGAGGAGATGCAGCAAATCGCTATAGAGCGAGAATTTAGAATATTTTAAACGTTACGGGTATTTCCGGATTTACCCTAGATCTAGAATTATAATAGATATATGTTATTAGATATTTAATTTTTGGTCCTCGGAGATTTAATTGACAGCGTCAGTATGTCTTATCTGCCGT